CAAGCGCTTCAGGGAATTTTATGAGAAGCAGCCCTCATGTTCACTTTCAAGGAATGTGGAATGGAAACATCGAGCCACGGATCTCTCCTGCCTCAAAGGATTACACAAAATCTTTGTAATCCTTCCTTTCGGCCCTCAGGTGTTTCTTCCTTAACTCATAAATAGAAACGAATCATTTAAATGGAAACAACATTGAATGTTGATATCGTACCTGCAGAACCCTCATGACGAACACAGTCACGAAACCAAAGTGCACGGCAAGAGGAAAAGCTAGCGTTGCGAACGTGGACAGAACTCCGAACAGTGTCATTGTACCCCTGAAGCTTAATGATAAGAACGCGTCAAGACACAAAGTTTAGGTGTTCAGCGACCTTTGAAAATGCGAAATATTGCAAGGGCAATGTGATCCGCAATGGAGCGAAGCATGGACGTGGCACACGGGTATCGCCACCCCCAGCTTTGTTCCCGTACTTTTTTTACAAGAGAAAAGCGGCACGCTACTGCAGCTGTGAACTGTTTACCGAGTACATTGCATTGAACAGAAAAGAGCAAAATAGAAACTAGCTTACCATACGCCTACTCGATGTATCAGATACGGTCCTGGTATTGTACCGATCAAACAGCCAATGGCAATTGCTGAGAACAGCGCATTGGTATGCCCACTGGACTCGAGCCAATGCGGTGTTGCTGAAAGTGTTGCTCCTTATGGTTAGAAAAGCATCTGAAAGATAAACAGGGTACTGGCCTCTTTTAGGATTCGGGACGCATTCTACTTCCATTCGGAACAGTAGTGACTCACTGACTACGATTTGGCCTACGCAGTGACTTGCGGGGTGCAGCCGATGTGCATGTGAGTGTTCCTATCCTCTAGGTGAATCTGGTGGTAGGCTCCCGGAAGGCAGAAGATTTGGCTAGCTTGGGCGGAACCCGATGCGGAAATTGAATCCAGGACCGTGCGCGTGGTCAATGTGCCACTTGCCACTACGCCACCCTCACCTCAGATAAGTGGTTTAAAAGAGAGAATTGTGCTACAGAAAACTTCAGCAAACAGTTTTCGTATTCGATCTTTGGATATTCTTTCGGTTCTCCATAGTGGAGGCAGTGGCATAGGTTTTGTGAATAGGACCGAGTTCATCGGTCAAGATGATTTCAGTTACTACGAGTTAGAATAGAATTGGAATCAGGTTGTTACAAAAGCTTTTACTGGAAAGGTCACTTGAAAATATACAGGGGTTAGAACACACCAAATTGACTGATGCTTACTCATTCAATCGAAGGAAACCACCAAAGGGGTCATATGTTACCGTGCTGAAAACCCTTGAAAGTACGGTTCGCCATAAGGCGCGCAGGCAGAAATGTAGAACAGAACTTGTCAAGTGACTATGTGAGAAGAAAGTAACCTGAAGGAACGTCGGCAAAGTAAGGCTCCCTTCATCCTAAAGCAATCGAACGGTAAGGCCAAAGAACCGCGTATTGAAACAAGCGCAGTCGCCTGATTCTTCGTATTAG